TTGGGGAAGCTGTTATAAAAATGATGTGTTAATGTTTCCAAGTTGCCCTCTTGTCCTCAGTTCTACAAAATTAAAAAATGGAATATATGTTATTTCATGTTGTTGGTCTTGTCCAGAATGCATGTTAATATGTATTGCCTAAAACAATCCAATACAAACCAGTGACAATTAGAATGACTATAATATAAAATGCAAACTGTAACCAGGCATTTGACTCCTAATTTTTTGTTAAGTTCTGTTTTCTCATCTTGCTCATCTTTCAGCTTAGAAGCCATCTCATTTATTTTCCTGTGCTGTACATTCTGAAGCACCTCTTTTGTGTGAGTGTAGCCGCTCCTGTCATAGAGCAGTTGGTGGATCTTTTCAAATAACTCTGTGACTTGAATTTTGTTACTTTTGTCATAGTTGTTAAAAACATGATATCTACCCTTGCAGGTGTTTACAAGATCTTGAAGCACAACATTGTAACTGATAAACTCTTCTACTGATTTTCCTCCTAGTAGATCTCCACAAGTGAACAGTAGCATGGTGAACCTTAGAGCTACCTCTCCAAAGTCCTCTTGAATCCACATCACAACATTCATCTCGTCCTCTGTGAATCTCCCCAGTTTAATCACCAACAAGAACACATGAGGACGATGAGTGGGACTGAAGATACAATTAGGTTCGCTGTGCCATATTTCCATCAACCCAGGATTGTCGATTACTGTGATGTTTCTTCCATCCATGACTTTGTTCTTAGTCTCACAGTGTGTAGTCCCACATGCTGAACATGCCTCTGCCCTGAAAGCTTCTTCACCCAGGATGGTGTTGCCTGATGCACTCTTCCCAGCTCCAGACTTGCCCACCAGCATCAGTCTCAGCTCATGATGGTTCATTTTGTGTCCTTAACAAAACAGACTTAATATCATAAAAGGTCTTTATTATCATAACTTTTCTTTAAATATGGGGTTTATTATATACAGTCATATTTCATAAATAATCTGTGTTTACCTTTCAGCACAAAATGCCAAACAGTTAATGCTGCAAACACTCCCAGTACAGGAAAAAGGAATACACCATTGTTAATACACTGGTTTTGGTCATTTTGCATGGAGGGCCTAAAAATAACAGACACATTAAAGACCCACATTATGATAATAAAAGAGAAAATGCAACTACCAGAGTTTTGGATGCTCCTGTAGAAACATGCATAGACACAGATCCTTTAAGATCATTTTTTTGCAGATCAGTGTAATTTGCTTAGATTTTATTAAATTTTTCAATGGCAACCTGGCTAATAAGAAAAGACGTCCAGAATTCAAAGTAAGATCTATTGTTTTATAGACTTAGATTAAGCATTGGCTAAACTATGGTTAAGAATTCTGTAGTAACCCGCTAATGGCTGGCGTTGGCCTCTAGAAGCTTGACCATATGGAGTTAGACTTAAGCCAAAATGTATTGTATTTATAAATTGTAATTTGAAGGCATACATCATCTTTTGAATGTAAATTTATTAAAGTGCAAATAAAAGATGCATGAGTAATTTTGGGCTCTTAGTGAATTCTATTCTATTATCAGATGTGCAAATTCGCATTTTGCGTACATTTTGTACTTTTCATTCATTCGAACCAACTTGTACAAGTTTGCATTTTAGTTTGCTAAGTGCAAAGTTTTAAAATGGTAAAGAGATCAGAGCAAAAAAGGACTACTGGATGGCTAAAATGGGACTATTGTACACCATGTATATAAGTTTTTGTCAGTGGTATCAGAACCGGCATATAGAAGTATCAGCATGTGTGTATTAAATGGTTAAAGGAAATTGTGGCTCACTGCTGAAAAACATGAATGTTTCACCGAGGTGATGACGGATAGTGAACTGTTTGCTATGCAGTGATTGGTAGAGAAAATAAAGAGGACGTTCAGTAATGATGGGAAAGTGTCTGGATTTTGATAAGGCGTAACACAAGGTTGAAATTAGATGATCCAGACCTGATGATGGTACATAAAAGAGAAATGTGGCTCCACTCTAACAACAAAAAAGGGCAAAGCAACAAAACTGTAAAAGCAACTCATGATGTAACAGGAAACACCTATAAAAGCGGTGGGGAACTGAGGGTTGGAGTCCAGCATAGTGTGTTTCCTTACTCTAGCACTCCAACTAAACCTGGCAACTAACTGCTGAGCTGAATCAGGTGTGTTTGAGCAGGAAAATCACTACACTGTACAAAAATCCAGCCTTCCAAGACTGGAGTTTGCCACCCCTTGTAGACGTAGCAAATGCCTGTTTTATCTCTGGTGGAAGATAACCATGTACACAAAAAATAAATTTGTATTTGAGAGAAAACTAAACATTTCTTGAGACAAAGATCTTTGAGTAACACCCATCACTTGTTTTCTAAGACAGGAGCACTGGTAAAAATTAAGAAAATGTTTCTGGGTAACCAGATATACAGTATAGAGAGTGAAGCAGAGCTCAGTCTTACCTGTTGCTTGAAACTTCTGGTGAACTGTTCAGAAAGTTAGATTGGTGATTATTGGATTCATTGGTTGTTGTCTGCCAGTCATTATCAGATATATGACCAGCTGGTGTCTTCTGGGTGGTGTTTCTGTTTGTTTTAAGGACATTAATAATAAAAAAGATTTTTAAAAAACTATAATATATTTATATTAAATAACATTTCCTTAGTTGGTCAGATTCTTTGCAGACGTGTAACACTGGAAAAGAACTTGTTTTATCTATAAGTAAAACAGAGTAAAAATGTAGTAATGGAGCTTTGCCTTACCTTCTTTTAATGAGAGGCATTGCAGATATTGTTAAAAAAAACTACCAAATAAGCTCAGACCACGCTTTAAAAATGACTTGATCTTGGCGTTTCAGTCTAATGGAGCAACAATACTTCAAAAGCTTGTGTGTAGTGGTGGAAGGTAACGGAATCTTAGTTTCTTCCAAGTAGAAAATAGAAAACTAAACACTTTGAGTAACACCCATTACTTGTTTTCAAATATATGAGCACTGGTAAAAATGAAGAAAATGTATAGAGGGTCAAGCTGAGCTCAGTCTTACCTGTTGCTTGAAACTTCTGGTGAACTGTTCAGAAAGTTAGATTGGTGATTGTTGGATTCATTGGTTGTTGTCTGCCAGTCATTATCAGATATCTGACCAGCTGGTGTCTTCTGGGTGGTGTTTCTGTTTGTTTTAAAGACAAAAAGATAAACTATATATATATATATATATATATATATATATATATATATATATATATATATATAATAACATTTCCTCAGTTGGTCAGATTCTTTGCAGACGTGTAACATTAGAAAAGAAATTGTTTTATAGAGAAAAAAATGTTATAATGGAGCTTTGCCTTACCTACTTCTAATGAGAGGCATTGCAGATATTGTTAAAATAAACTGCCAAATAAGGTGAGATGTTTTAAAAATGACTTGATCCTGGCGTTTCAGTCTAATGGAGCAACAGTACTTCTAAATGTTGTGTGTAGTGGTGGAAGGTAACAGAATCTTAGTTTCTTCCAAGTAGTTGATATTTCTGTAGGAGACATAGTTCATGCAGTGTTTATTTCACAAGAGTTGTAATATTTTGTATATCTGTGTTTTGAACTTCATAAGCAGAATGCAATGTCATCAAACACGTTTGACTACAAAGAGAAACTAAAACTATAGAGAGATCTGTCTACAACGATTGATGATGAACACTGGAATGCAGGAAAAGGTTGTTTAAATGGTTGCTATTTATGTCATGTCGTTTCATGCCATGACAAGAAACTTACTTATGTAATCAAATGATTTGAGCAAATTGTTTCTGAAATCATATTACAATACAAAAGTGATTTTTAAAAATAGCAGAGTACACAATTAACATATGTAAAAATATATTAATGTTGTCTTAAGTAAACCAGGAAGTAATTCCCCCTTTGTTAGTCCTCATTGTCTATTTTTACCATTTATACCATAAGCATGTTACAAATATGTACAGCCTTTTGAGTTTGTCAACTCAACATAACCTGTGCATCTATACATTCATGTAGTCCCATCTTAGAATGTACAGTGGGTGTCTATTTTAAAGGAAGGTCATAAATTAGAGCAGTGCAGGCAGTCTGGAAACAAACCACCAATCTAAGGCTTTTGTACATAAACATCACAAGAAGATGACTCACTTATGAGTAATATACTAGATTTGTATTCATTCATGTTGTTTATTTTCATTTATTTATTGTGAAGACATGCCAAATAATGAAGTTACAGGGAATCAGTTCATTTTAATACCTGGTGAGCATAAACTCTCTAAATACAAAGTTGCCATTTTGAAATGGTGATATTTTGATATATACTTTGAGAGTTTTGTAATCTATTTTAATTAATGAAGTACTGTAGAAATGAAGTTATTCATACCTTCATACCTTAATGATGATCATCATCAACTTCAGGAATGGCAGCGGTTGTGGTGCAACGATAAAAAAGTAACTCTTTTTCCTTACTTCTGCTGTTCTGATGGAGAGCAAGGGACCAAAGTAAGCATTAATATTGTGTGCCTTACTTGACCTGCTTTTGCCTTTATGTTTTGGCTACTGCATACTTAAAACTGGTTTGTTGTGTGCAGAAATTTCTAATTGGAGCTTTCAGTTACTCCTACCAGGGAAGATGACACTATATCAATCACTTGTTGCTATGCAGGTTAATTTTCATCCAGCTTTAATAACATTTGCCGTTTAACTGCTTTATGTGCGCAAATGTTCGGAATGTGCTGTGCTGGACGCGTTTCATGAAGGAAGATACCTTTCTTTTTTGATGGATTTTTAAAATCTACTGTTAGCATCCGTGGAAACCACAAATGACTACTGCTTAGCTGCCAAAAGAGGTATAAACCGTGAAAAGAGCTTTGCCAAAATTATGGAAGCCTACCTGATACCACAATTTCAGAATTACAAGTTATGTTGCAAAGATGCAGAATCTCATGTTAAAACTGGTCACACACACTTTTTGTGTTAAATTCATATTCAGCAATGCTACAATCATTGTTAGGGGTAGGCTCATGCAGGACTGCAATCAGTATCATTTCAAGTTAAAGGCAGTTAAGACACTTTATCTTGTAAGCTAATACATAACCAACATACATAAAACAAAAAAAAATTATATATATGTGTGTGTGTGTGTGTGTGTGTATGTATTTTATATATTTTTGTGTCTATTTAATAACCTTGAGGGTAAATACTGTCTTTAGACCCCATGGTTCTGGTTCAGAGATAACACCTCTTCCCTGATGGTAGGGGTCAAAACAGTCTAACACAGAATACTTTGTGCACTAATTCAACAGTGGGCAGTGTGAAAACCGTCTAAAGTTGAGAGATCCGTTGTAGGACCTTAAGCTCTGAAATGATAATGTGGTCATATCAAAAGTGCTATCTGGGTAGCTAAACTTGGTAACTTTGACTAGATAACAAGCTACAGCTTACTCCAATGATGTGCAAGTGCTGTGCGAGAACACTCACTGCTAGGTGACTAAGTTTAGCTGTTGGCTAGCTCAGTTAAAGACAAAAGCAGGTGAGAATTGAGTAATAAGAGTTTATGAGACTTTTGAGAGTTTTTTTCTTCATTGAATGTGCATTTGTTTACTGATTAATGGGAGCACAGTAGAAAAAACAGCAGGTTGCTGTCAAGTACAGTATAATTAATTTGTGCTTTAAGGTGCTGTCAACTCAATTATAAACATAAAAATTTTCAATGATCCTAAAGATGTGTGACTACTTTATTATTAACCACAGTCAGACTGGAGACCATAATTCAAGTGTTTAAGGTGAAAAAAAAAATCTCTCTGCCTGAAAAGAACTGATGATGTCTGCTCCAACCATTACATTTTCTTTATGACACAGAAAATCTA